GATATTTCCTCCTTTGATGTGAACTATCTTTTTTCCTCACCTGCCTAATTTTATTTGTCCTTTAAGACGCATCTCAACTGGAAAAAAAAAAAAAAGACTCACCTCAGCTGGCACTGTCTGCAGGAAAGTCTTCCCTGGCTTGCCCAGATTGAGGTAGTCGCCCCTTCTCTGGGCTCGCACCACCCTGTGTGTATGTGTATAGTGGCACTTCACACACACTACTTAATTCATTGCTTTACTTGTTTGTTGTCCTACTTAGACCAAGAGCCACCTCATCTTTCATCTCTATATCTGCAGGACAAGGGCACACAGTCAGTGGCCATTAACGCTGATGAAGAGAGGAAGCAGGAGGAATAAAATGAATTGTATTTCTATTTTCCCTATTATTTCTCTTTTCCTTCATCCTCATTTCATGCCTTCCTATTATTTCTCCCCAACTACTAAGACATCATCATAATCCTTCTATTCTCAATATCAATACACATCATGATTTTTAGTCTCTCCCGCGAGGTCTGAACTATTGCAAAAATGCTGGTCCCGTGTGTGGGTAGCACAGGTTGAGGAGTTTGTTGCTCCTTAGCTTTGCAAAGGAGGGGTTTGTTGTAACAGACCCTGCATTAGTCTCGATTTTATCTTTTCTTCTGTGTTTTAGCTGGGGTCTTTGAACATGCTTTAGTTTTGCCTCGCTTTTGGTCTTAGCAGCTGGGTAAACAGACTTTCTGAAACACCCTGGATAAAATGGCAAGTTCAAGGGGAAAGTCTTCCACCTTTAAATTAAAAAAAAAAAAAAATTTGCTCACGGCCACAGTTGGGGAATAGTAACACCTGAGAGCACTTGAGAGGGATTGTGTTTGTGCTGGCTATGGAAAACGCCGCTGATGACAAAAACATGCAGCTGCCTTTCCAAGTGAGGCCGACAACTCTCAGGGAGCAGCATCAAACTGCATTTAGCAAGAGTGACAGAAGAGCAACATAAATGACTGACATTTCTGGTAGGCACTTTCTAAAGAGTCTATGAATTGCAGAGGAGAATGCAAAGAGAATCACCTGATTCTAAAACACTTAAATGAACGCTTGCCATGGGCAGGAAAGTTACTTTGGGAAATTACTCAGGAAATTAATCAAAACTTAGGAAAAATACTTTGGAAGGAAGATTTTGAAACACAAGAGGGAACCTTTATGTGTATTTAGGAGAGCAAACTTTGTAAAAATCCATAAATGCTTCTGTTTTCACTTTTGGATATCGAATTGGATGAAAGGGGTGCGACGTTTTGTTTTGTTTTGTTTTTAAGGAACACCATGAGTCCATCATCACTAGAGATTTTTTAAAAGTTGTCTGAAGTGCAAATTCTCTCTCACAAACCCCTCTACATTTTTATGTATTTTAAAGATTTTCCAAAATAGAAATATAGGCTGAGGAAAGTGTCTATGAGCATTAAAGGGAAGTTTTATGATGTAATGTTTAATAGCAGACAACAGGGAAAAACATGGTATATTCACATGGTAATGTAGCTACTGTTACCAAAAATATGCTTTTCTATAGAAATGACAGGAAAACCACACACACAAAAAACTGTAGCATGTGCACTGTAATATGCTCACGAAAAGACAAAAAGACAATAAGTTATTAACAGGCACAGACTGTAGCTGCAATACTTTTGTAAAGCAAAATTTACAAAAAGTTTATATGAAAAATACGGACAGCTAACTTCTTAGGCATATCAAAACACATGTTTTTATGGAAGAGGTCTTAAAGAAAAGTCTTCTAGAACGTCTACAAGGTTTACTCTAATGAAAGTCCAGGCAGGCAGGGAGTTTAGTTTTGTTTTGTGTTTGAAGCCATCTTCCTTGTGCCCAAAACAGTCACTGGTACATAGTAGGTAGTCAATAAATACGTGTTAAATAGATGAGTAAGAGAAGGAACAAATGAGAAGCATGTTCCATTGAAACTCTTGAGTCCCTAGGTCTCTTCAGGTGTGGAAGGAAGTTTTTGCTGGTTCTAAGTTGCTGGAAAACTTCGAACTCTACCAGGTAGAGTATTCCCTTCAAGATGTCTCTTCAGGGTGGGGGGGAATGGGTGAAGGTGCTCAAAAGGCACAAACTTGCAGTTATACGATAAATAGGTCCTGAGGATGTTATGTGCAGCATGGTGACTATAGTTAATACTACTGTATTGTATATTTGACAGTTGCTAAGAGAGTAGATCTGGAAAGTTCTCATCACAAGGGAAGAAAAAGATTTGTAACTGTGAGGTGACAGATGTTAACTTACTAGGGTAATCATTTCAGAATATATACATATATCAAATCATTATCTGTGTGCCTTAAACTAATGCAACATTATATGTCAATTATATCTCAATAAAACTGGAAGAAAAAAAAAAAGACCTATCATCAGGTTACACAGAAAACAGACGTTGTTGACAAGCTAACTCATTTTATGGCCAAAAACTTTCCTTTGTTTCACAAGTTTCAGAAACTCCTTTATCATAAACTCTATTATAAATTTTACAGCATGATTTTCCTGCCAACTCCCCCTACTCTCTCCCTCTGGACCCACCTCCCTATATTATTCCTTTATATTGAGAAAAGGTGGAAAGGAAAGGTCATGTCAGATTGTGGAAGGCCATGATGTCAGAATAAAATGACCAGATCTAATCATGTAATTAATATAGAGCCATTAATATTTTGAATATTGGAAAAATATAAAATCGTATCATGAAAATGAGACATTTTACAACATTCACAGAGACTTCTGAAAGCCCAACACGTAACAGTACTAATGAATCCAGGGATATTTATTCAGAAAAACAAATGATAAGGTTATCGATGGGACTGAATCAATATCCTAATCTTCCCTGGTCATCATTGTTTGATCCACCACGGAGGAGAAGAGACCTGAGCTGGAAGAGACTGTAGAACTGCATCCCACAAGACACCACCAAAACACGTCCACACACCAGCCCAAGAGAGCAGGGACCCTGGCCTCTGGGCACCCAAGGGCCTCTCTGTGGTCTGTGTTTTAACAGCAGGATGATGATGAAGGCAACTCCCTTATCAAGTTTCCTCTCTTAAGACTACCCTCTAGTCTCTTCTTTACAAGTTTGATTCCTTAAGTCTGAATAAAGACATAAGAACCTATGGGTTCCAAAATGCTGAAACTCCCACTTCTGGGTATATATAAGAGGAGAAAGAAGAAGGTGTTAGGTTATTTAATTCACCCCAAAAAGAGAAATTTGAAATTAAACTGTTACAGATGCTACTAGAAGTCTGTCCGCAATAGAATTCTATAACAGAAGTTAGCAAGGAATACAGGTTTTAGGACACAGGAAACCAATAATTTAACTCTGTGGTTCTTAAAGTTAGAAGAGTGCTGGCAACTCAATAACAAGATGACACGTATCTGCCTAGGTTTTGTATTTTCCTTCGGTCCACTCTTCTCACAGCATGGATGTGATTTATTTGGACTCTCCAAGAGCTTTTGATAAGGTTCTCACAAGTGCCTGTTATTGAAACTTGGTAACCGTGGTGTGAAAGGAAAAAGTCATATCAATGAATTAAATGAATCAAAAACTGCTTGAGAGGCAAAGAGGCAAAAAGCAGAGATAAAGGGCCAATTCTCATGGGGTGAAATGTTAATGACTGAGGGCTCTCCGGCTTTGCAGTAGAATCTGAGTTTTATTTAACTAATGACCAAGAAAGGGGAGCCCAATTCTCATTCCCCTCTTCTCTGCATATCAGTCCCACACACAGAGGCCCCATTGGTTGAAGGAGGAGATACAGGCAGCATAGAGAAGAAGTGCTTAAAATCCAGGAAAAAGCAGATAGGTAATGAATGCAGACTCATGTAGAGGTCCCCAAAGGAGAAGGGAAGAGGAATAAACATAACATTAGCAGAAGTTTTTTTCTAAGAACTTTCGCTTGTTTGTTAGTTTTTTAATACAATTTTCAAAGGTTACACTCCATTTCGTTATTACAAAATATTGGCCATATTCCCCGTGTTGTACACTACATCCTTGTAGCCTATCTCACACCCTATAGTTTGTACCTCCCACTCTCCTACCCCTGTATTGTCCCTCCCCCACCTCCCCACTGGTACTCAGTTTGTGCTCAATATCTATGAGTCTAAGAACTTTGATATATCTATGCTACATGGAAACACAAGGGCATTTTCAAAAGACAAGATATTGTATTTGAACAAAAGTTCTTAATTTATTGGTTTGATGAGAGCAAATGTTCCATACTGAAGAATGGTTCACATGGGCATTGAGATCCACAAAAACCACAATCTATTCCTATAGATCGAGAACTTAGATGTAAACAAAAGTGAAACTGATAGGAAAGAGTAAGAATTATTAACTTTTTCTGAGGCAAACTTGAAAAATTGATACAGGTTTTAACAAAAGTATAACCTGACATGAATGGAATAATTTGAAAATCAAATACTCTAATTGGTCAGCATTAATCCTTTATGACTCAATCTGCCATTTTCAAAACATCAACATGACAAACTACACAGAGAGGCTCAGAAAAGCCAACAAGCTCTTGACTGAACCTCCCTTATCTCAGTTTCCTTATCTGTAAAATGGAAATAATAGAACTTCCCTCACGGGATGATTATAAGGGTTAAATGAGATCATGTATGTAGAGTGATTCATACAGTAAATGTAAAAAATGATGTTGAATTATTACTGTTAGTACTTATGATAGACTAAACCCAAACACTTACATGCCACAGAGAAGCAACTAATGCAAGCTATTGTGATGTTCTTATTTGTATCATTGTTATGATGCAATACTTAGAAAGACACGTGAAATACTTTCAAACGCTTTCAAACAAAGAAAAACATAGCTTTAAAATATATTTCCACTAACGAATTTTGTAAAATGAAAGATAATTATAAGTTAATCTAAATAAGCCAAAAAGAGCACCACAAAATGCCAGATAAATGCTAATAACATATTAATTCTTAAAGGTACAAACAGTAGAGCCAAGCTTACCGTGTCGATAGTATTTTAATAAGCTCTTTTCTATTCTGTACCCGAAGGTGGTTAGTTCTATACTTGGAATCATCAGTCAGTTCAGGCAAATTCAAGATCTAAAAGGGAAAAAGAATTTTAAAGTGTAATTCACAAAATTTTTGTGTACCTGCCTGTGGGTACTAGTGTTCAGGACCTACCGCTCCATCCTCAAGACCATTCCTTGCTGGTCTTTATACTTCTTAACACAAGGATATATGGAGGGAAGGATCATGCAGTTAGGATGGGTCATGCTGGTGACTGGTTTTCTCATTTATAAGAAGGTTTTACTACATTTAAGCATGCGCCTACATACAGGAAAACCGAAAAGCAGTTATCAGACCCCCCGTAATATCCTGTACCCATTTATGAGAATATAGGAGAAGAGTTATCAGATTCCCACAGTAAGTCTTATCTAGAGGAAACAGAGATAGAGGTACAAATTGGGTAAAACTGACCTAATTCTAAGAACCAATAACATAAGTGCAAGTCTGCACTTACATCAAGCTCATAATCAACATATATCTTGTAGGTACATTCACTTATTTGTTCCACATGTAAATAAAATAGTATTATCTGTCCCAGTAGTCCTATCCAGGATGTTGTACAAGGTGCTAAAATAAAGGGGAAGCATACACACTTGCCCCAAATGCTTACCGTTAAAACAATGTCAAATTAAAAGATACTCCTCCTATAGAAGTGTCCCTATTTTTCTTTACTATGACTCCCTGAAGGAATAACAAATAGAAGTGCTTTTATATACTTCCTCTTTCGCTCCTCCTCAGTAAAGAGAAAATCTATCCTGGAAGTCCCAGTGGACATCTTGCAATTTTAACAAGACCATAATGAAAGTACCAAGTGGATTTGGAATGGAAAAGAAGTTTTAAAAAGAATGTGTGGAGGCAGTGTTTGGCACTTGTGTTGGAAAGTCAGAAGGAGCATTTATGGGCTAGGCGCAGGCCATGTGGCCTACAGAAAGCTTCACTACCTCTATTAATGTATTTGCCTTAAAAATAAACACGTAATGGTTTCATTTGTTTCCCACAGTTTAAATAAAGTCAATCCATTAATCATCTTACAAAGGAGAGAGAAGTGAAGAAGATTCCCTGAAGTAAAGAGAGCATCTCAATGGTGTAATTTCTCTTTCACATGTTTCACTTATTCATTTCCTTTAGGAATAATAAAGACAGCATTACTCTCTCAGATTTTAAAAAGTGACACCACATACAGTGCCCTTTCTAGAAACCTCCCTGTCACCACACCTGATCCAAGAATTGGCCTCAAGGCTTAACCAGGAATCAAAACACACCCTCCCCCACCAAGAGTGAACAAGTCATTTCAAGAAAAAGCAAGTGCCTTCACTAGATCACATGTTAAATTTATAAATGTGGCCTCACCCAGAATACAGTGTAAGCTACACAAAAAACTACTCAGTGTTTGCGCTCAATGGTAACTGGGGTGCACTCATGTCTCCTTCTCTGAATATGACTTATTGGACCTCTTTTCTCTTTGAAAGTTGGTGTTAAATAGTGGGTAAAGTAATTATCCTTCTGTCTTCAACTATGCCAGCATTCAAAATGTTTCTAGAGAGACTGCTTCAAGAGCTGTGGTCATAACCATGCTTTAGGTGCTTGAAAGAGAATGCTGCCTGGGACAAAATGAAACAATGTAAGTGAAAGTGCTTGACATATTAAGCATTAAATAAATGTGAAATATTCCAAGTAAGTACTGTTTCTCCCCAAAGAGATATGAAAGCATGTGTTTGTTCAAAAAAGAAGAATGGGAAAGAAGGGAGAATGTAGGGGAGGTTATCTACTTAACTTTCATTTCTTAAGGATATTCCTATTGGATATAGAATTCTGCAGTTACGGTTCTTTCCTTTCGGCCCTTTAAACATGTTGTGCCACTTCCCTCTGGGTTCTGCCGTTTCTGACAGGAAAGCTGCAGTCAACTGAGTCAGTGTTCCCCCAAAGGTATCAACAATACGTCATTCTCTCTGGGTGCTTTCAAATGCTGTTTCTTGGTCTTTAGTTTTCAGCAGTAATATTTTGATGTACTTGGGCATGGATTTATTTGGATTTATCTTATTTGGGGTTTGCTGAAATTATTAAATCTGTATGTTTTTAATCTTTCACCAAATTTGGGAAGTTTTCAGCCATTGTTTCTTCAATGGCTTCAATTTTTTTCAGTCTGTTCTCTTCTCTCCTTCTGGGACTACAGTGACATAAATATTAGATTTTTTTGTTATTGTCCCACAGGTCCCTGAGTATCTGTTCTTTCTTTCATTTTTGGGAGGGGACTATCTTTTTTTCCTTTCTGATGTTCAGACTGAATAATTTCTATTTATCCATCTTCAAGTTCCTTGACTGTTTCCTTTGTCACCTCCATTGTGCTACTGAGCTCATTCAGTGAGGTGTTTGTTCCTGTATTTGGTGGTTGTATTTTTCAGTTCTAAAATGTTCATTTGGTTCTTCTTCAAATCTTCTATTTCTTTTCTGGACATTTCTACTTTTCTATTTATTTTAAGTGTCTGTGATGCTTGTTGGAGTATCTTTATAATGGCTGTTTTAAAGTTTTCATGAGTTAATTCCCACATCTGTATCATCTTGGCATTGGCATTTATTGATTGTCTTTTCTCATGCAGGTTCTGGTTCTTCATACGCTGAGTAATTTGGGATTGTATCCTGGACGTTTTGAATATTATGTTATGAGCCTCTGAGTCTTGTTCAAATGCTACAGAAAATTTCTGTTGTTATTGTTTTTAGCAAGCAGTTCACCTGGTTAAGTTCAGTCTGCAAGTCCCAACTCACCTTCTATGTGCTTTGGTTCTACAGTCAGTTCAGTTTCCAAAGCCTTTGCAATTGCTTTTTGAACCTGTGCCCTACTTAATGGTCATGCTGCAACCTGGGAAGCTGTCTATTTGTTAATAGTTCTCAACATCGTCGGTGTCCTGATTAGGACCAGATCAATGCATGTGCAGCTAAGGCGTGAGCGCAGTTCACAAACAACTTCACGGATCCCTTTCTGAAGCTTTTCCCTCTCTGCAACCTCTTTCTGGTTCCCTAGAGCTCCCCTCTAGTTACCCTACTCCCCAGCACACTTCCAGGGCAGAGGCCAGTCAGTGGGAGGGCAGAGGAAAAAGCATCAAGGACTCAGCCCTGTCTTTTGGGATCACAGCTCAGATACAAGAAAGGTCCCCTTCCTCGGAGTCTGGCTGCTGCTCACCCACCGCTGCCGCTACAGGACTGCTTGGAGGCTGGGGGGTGAGAAAACGAGAGGACAAAAAGGGAGGATGTCCACACTCTCTCTGACATTAGACTCCACTTTTATGCTCCCCGCACCAGGAATGAAGGGCATCTCCTGGAACTCAGCTCTGCTCCCTGGGGTCCACTCCCAGGTTTCAGGCTGTGTTCATGTAAAGGAATAATCAGAGGGAAAAACCGGCAAACTTACTGCCAGTTTAGAGGTATTTCAAATTTTGGTATTCCTTCCCAATTTTCCTGCTATTACTTACTTTTCACAGTCCTCATACAGATGTTCCGCGCATTCTGTACAGGTTTTATCACTGTGTTCCGTGGGTGGGACAGGGAGAAATGTGCTTACTCCATTTTACCCAGAAACAGAATCTCCACACCTAATTGCTAGAAAGACCATTTATTAAGTTCATGCTGTGAGCCAGGGACTGAACTAAGTGTTTTACTTATCTAATCTAACTTTTAAAAAACCCCAAAAGTTATATATTAGTATAGTTATGTATTATAACCTTCCTTTCATCATGAGGGCACTGATGCTTAGCAAAGACTAAGTGCCTTTTGCCAGAGATCACCTGACTGGTTCCAAGATTCACAGAATGCCCTAGAATTCAAATGTCCTCAGACCACCTGCTCTAAAATCAACTAAAGGGCCTGTTAAAATTGAAGTTTCCCATGCCCCACCTCACATACTAAGTCAAAATCTTTGGGACAGGGGCTCAAGGAGGTTTCCTATGCATGCTAAAGTTGAGAACCAATGTATATTGCCTCCAATAAAAGAAACTTTCAGTCTATATGACTTTTAAAAGGATGTCAGTGTATTTCAAATAGGAATGCCCATTAGTGTTGGCATCAATCAGCTTAGAATAGCTTACATGTGCTCATGTTCCCTACCCTTCCATATCATGTTAAGGGACATAAAATAGGGTTTGTTATAAGCCAAGGTTCACTTTATGTGCAAGAAGATTTTCTGAAGCCCAAGCCTTGAACCCAAAGCTCTTACTACCACTCTGATCCCTGACAGTAAGAGTATTCTAATAGGGCCCCTCCCAACGAAGGTATTAGTCAACCAGTATATCAAACTCTCTTTTGGAAACAGATTGGGCGTAAGTAAATTCTACTCATTCGTCACAAACAATACTGCCACATTTCTCCCCAGGAGGTAGAGCAGCCCTGTCTTTCATGATGGACTTTACGTGGCAAAAGAATAATTTTGATACGCTCATTGTCTAACTTGGGGTCCTCCACTTCTACAAGGCCAGCCTGAACTATAATACCCTCCGTAATAGATAGAGCTGAATAAAAAGTACCTAGAAAAAGCTCGCTTGCTGTATATGGGAAGGGGGAGAACCTTGCATCAAATAAGGAAACAGATGATTTTTTTTCCTTAGAAAAGGTTTTTAGGACAAGTTTACATGTAAGGGTATAATTATGAAGGTGAAAAACTCAAATCTGATTGCAACGTTTGCTGAAGATGCCTAGTAAATGATGTAGATAACAGTAAAATCCTATACACATAAAACTTTTCTTCTGAGGATCTCAAAGAGTTTTATAGACATTGCCTTAATGGCTCATAACAGGGATTATCATTCCTAACTCACATATGGGAAAAACAAGGTCAAGTATGCCATTCTCCAAGGCCCTCTGCTAGTCTCCTTTTTAAAAAATGTGTCATAACACACCATAACAATAAGTCATATTTTAGTACTAAAACTGATGGCAAATATTCTGCTTTGATATAAAAATCTTTTTCAAAAAAAGTTCTTATGGATATTTATGAGGAAGTTCAAAAGTTTTAAATTGATCAGCAGTAATAAATCAAAAATAAA